CTCACAAAGAGTGTCTTGTTCACTTTCTCTCTCTGTAGTCCCACCCCCTCTGCCTGAGGTCCTGCCCCTTCCAGGAGGCCTGGAGCCAGCCTGTGACCAAGGACCAAAATACATGAAGTGGCCCCTCTGTGAAAATTATTACCCACCCCTGTTCTCCAGTGTCTGTCAGGGTAGTGTCTGTTTGCTGTTTCCATGAAGCGCTGCAGTTCATTTGCAGGTTGGATCTCCCTGGTCTGGCACCCTCGTGACCTGACCGGTCTCAGATGAGGGAATTTGCCAGACAAGGGGAGGTCCCCTGACACCAGCCCTTCAGCCTGCTGCCCCTCCCCACTGCCGGTTCCTTTGACGGGCCAGGCTGCCTGCTGTCCAGCCCCGGCCCCGCTCCCTCTGCCGGGCTGCTGCAGCTCCTGCCAGGTTTCCCTTCCTGTCCTCCTGCAGCCACAGCCATGGCCCCAGCTCTGCTGATTCTGCTGGGCTGCCATGGCCCTGGCAGCTCTAGCCCTGGTGTCGCAGCCGGGAGGCAGGCAGTCCCAATCACGCTGCCGCCACCCAGGCTGCTGCGGCCCAGCTGCTGCCACCTGGGCTGCCATGGTCCCAGCCATGCTGCCACACAGCAAGCAACCCTGATAGCACTCTGACACCGCCTGAGCTGTCCCATCACCACTATGTCCTGGGTGCTGTGTTCCTGCCGGTACCGGACTCTCTGGGCTCCCAGCTGCTGGCCCTCCTGCTCTGGGGCACTCTCATCCAGGAACGTCCATGATCATGCCAGACCATGGATGTTACCAGATGGGAGCATCCTGGTTAAGGGAGGTGCAACCTATACAAGCAAAATGGTTACATTTCCAATCCTGTGTGGTGCTGTGTACTTTACTAATATTTATATCACTCCTGTTGAGAACTAAAAAGGACTGATAAGTCTGTGTAAAATCTGTGTATAAGCTACAAATGGGAAAAGGAGAGCAATCTATGGAACTCCTGGTGTCCCAGTAACAACAATGCATCTTTGGTCAATAAATGCCCAAAGGAAGTATCTCCATTGCAGAATGTAATCAATACCACAGGCATTAATCATGCGGGAACATCACAGGATGTCTTTTCAGAGCAAAGAACAGCTGCAGGTGAAGCTCTAGTATAAACTGTTCTTGGGTTTTTGGGAGGTAGAAGTTGGGGTAGGCGGATTGGCTTTGCCTGCAAATGACTGTTACTATCATTTTTATTCTTTCAGTTATCAGGGGATTTGTGGAATAGCTTCTGCTTTAAAAGTAGAGCAGTAAAATGTGAAAGCGTTCCTCATATAAGTGATGGTTCTTAGTAAGAATTTTCTCAGCTTTTAATTCTGACCTGTAACTATAACAGCCATCACTTTTGGCGTTAACTTTCCTCCACAAGAATGTCTTAAAGTCTCTTTTATTGCTCACACATTGCATCAGTTTCTGGGCCTCTATTTCAGCTGCTATGCATTTTTCTTAAATACTGATAGTAATTAAAATACATTAAGCACTTGCCAAATCTCTAATGCTTTAATGCAGGGTTTTGATTTTAAGCGGGAGAGTGTTTTATTGGCATTTTTTACACTTACATTAGTAGACATCACTCTTCTAGAAGATGGACGCAGAATGGCTCTAGGCTGCGGCTTTGCTGTGCACAATGTGGAATTAATTATAAATATTCCTGAAAATTGGATTTCACAATGGAAAAGTTGGCTGCTTTATTGCTGTTCGGCTGCTTCAGAACTTACTTGTTAACCACTGTCTCTTTCTGGGAGCATCTTAAACATGTGCTCTGTGACCTGAACTTCACTGCCTTGGATTTCTGCATTAATTTTTAGGGGTTGGTTTTGATCTATGAAGTCCTAAGTGGGCTGGGGCCTACCTGCCAAAGAGATTCCATCTCTCCCTATTCGGTGCTGCCACAGTTGTGGTCAACTGAGGCATGTGAACAGAAGATAAGTGACAATGTGACTGGCAAAGCATTCTTTATTCCGGCCTCACGTCTCTGATATGCACTTCTTCTTTCTCTCTCCTCAACCCCCTGTAACAGCCTGTCTGTGAGCCTCCAGGGTGTACTTCAAGGCCTATCTCTTCTCTCTGGCTCCAGAGGAAATGGGTACTATAGAAAGCTGGTGCAGCACCTGGGGATTGTGCACAAGAGTAATTTTTAATTGATGTTGCTCTGAATTTGAGTTGATTTCCGGGTATTGGATGAATATCCTCAGGGCCATACTTAAAGGGGCGGGGCCTGAGGCAGCGTCCCGGCAGTGCCCTAGGCTCTGGGCCCAAGGCAACACCTCACCACAGGCCCACTTGATGGCTCTCCTCCTGGAAGGAACTTGCCCTCTGTGTATCTGCTTCTGATGTCATGTAGGGAATTGAGCTACCATGAGAGGAGTGTCTGCAGAATTCGCGAAGTAAAGCAGAAACTATAGACGTCAGTAGGGGTTGGGGATTTTATGAAGTGCCGGGCAAAGCACACTCTTTGCCCAGGAAATGGGAATCTCCTGAAGATGATTTTTTCCTTGATTAAAGGTAGTAAAACTGCATCCACGTACATGGCGGGTGCAAGCTGTTCCTGGGGGAGCATTCCATGGGTTTATCCCCAAACTCTCCTTGGAGAGCTTGTATGCAGAAGAGTGTCTCTTGGCGAGGGCCTATCATTGCATGGTTTTAGGAGTGGGTGTGTGGCTCAGGCTAAAAAAAGGCACAAAGCTATCTTTTTTTTCTTGGGGGGGCGGTGCAGGGTGAGTTCCTTGCATATTTCAGGTGCAGCTGTTCCAAGAAATACTGTTTTATTTCAGTAGTATTTTAACCCTAGTTTGAGAATTCTAAGCCAGAGATTAAGATAAAAACTGAACACTTAAGATATGCCTCTGAGCTCTGTTTGCCAGTTCCTAACTATGCTATGCAATCTGATACCAGGAGCTCAGACTCAGAGGGTAATTGGAAGCTTGTGTATGATTTATGGTAAGCTTATTCCATAAAATAGCTGTGCTTCAGCACTTCCGTGGCAATATATAGACTATCATTAACAATCCATGAAAGTAATCCCTTTGAAAAAGTGTTTAGGGAAGACTTAAATTTAACCAGTGATTCAGAAGAATAATCAGAGAGGGAGAAGAAATCAGGTTTGATGGCTTTCTTCAGATCAGGATAAGGTTTCCTGGAGACAATTAGGTTATCTCCCCTTCTCTTCCCCCTCAATCCCCTCACCCTGAACAAGCTTAGCCACCATTGCTGCTGAACAGATACTGGGCGATTAGCTCTGAATCAGGAGGCTTGCAAAATTTAGTCACTTTTATACATACACACTCATAACATATTTCATAGGAGGGCCCCAGAGCCCTCTCCAAATTACAAAATATTTTCCGCATTAAAAATTTGCAAGAAGAAATGTATGGGTTTTACAGTAATGGAAATAAGATGGATCAAATTAACTAGAGCCATGCATCTTGTGAGACATGTACTGTTTAAATTCCTCATATATCCAGTTGCAGCCTGCTAGTAGTTGAAGAGAACATAACTTACACAAATGACCCCCAAGTGCTTTCTGACTAATGCAGATAGTCTGTGTCCTGCAATAGTTCCCACGCCCAGCCTTAGGTCTCAAACTATTGAGAAAAGAGGTATGAGCCAAAATGCTTATTTCCTGCTTTTCTCAAAAAATGACGGGGTCATTGTTTCATTTTGGTAGCCTCCAATGTCTGCAATGTTACATTGAGTTTATTTTTTGCCAAAGAATGGTTAAGAGCATCACAGCCACAAATACAAATTGAGGTTCCACAGCCAAACATCCCAAATGATCTTTTGTTAGGCACGAATAAGGAATCCTCTCATTGGTCCTTTTGATAATATGATCTGATAGTTTTTTCGTGCTGCTCTGTAATGGAAAAGCCCTTTTCAGAGTGGTATGGAGCAGGCAGAATAGGCTAAGGGGATAGTTAATATCAAAAGAAACAGGCAAAATGATTTCTGGTTTTTACACTAAAATTAAAATCATTTGTATGAAGCATAATAATGTCAACTTCACTGGGATCATTTTGGGTGGTACTTATGGGCCCCCACAACCTCATCTCATTTGAGGACCATTCATATTCTGCTTTGTGAAGTGTTGTGATCATTTTATGAAAAGGGCCAGCTATATAAATGCTGGATGTTAGCTACCACAACAGAATGCATAGGGTTCACAAAGCATAATTATTTCATTTGTCTGTCTATCACAAGCCAGGAAGTGCAGAAGGATAATGCAAATGATTCAGGGGGAGGCTGAAGAACAAAAGAAGTGAGGATGTTATTGAAGGATCGGTGGCTGGATGTGGAGAGACACTTTCAGTCCTAAGTTTCTCTCACAAGCCTGTTTATATTAGGGCTGGCTGCCATAATCTCTCTTACTGCACCAGCTTCTGTTGGTGAAAGAGAGAAGCTTCTGAGCTATACAGAACTCTGACCACCTCGTGTCTCTAATATCCTGGGACCAAGCCAGCCACAACAACACTGAACTTTCTTACTAAAACTTCTAGATTGCTTTAAAAAAACATGCTAGAAATCATGTCCTCAGAATCCAAGATAAGATCTAAATGGATTCATTAGTGAAACATTCAGCTACTAGAGCCAGATTTTAAGTTGTGTTAATTCAATTGTTGAGCCCACTATTCTAGAGCTGTTGATGTAATGTAAATATTTAATGGACTATTGCCATTTTTAAAGATGAATAGCGCTCCGACAACTGTTCAGACGGATGGGAGAGAGTTTAGCTGCTGCATCGTATGTCTATTAATTGTTCTCTGTGGAGTAGTCTTGAATTCTATACAGAATCTGTACTAGATGGTTGACTCTGCTATTCTGACAAAATGTAGGGTGGTAGCATGACCCATCACTTTCACAACAGGCATCTAATCTCTACACATGCACACACAACTACATTAGCTCTGGTCAGAATGCAGAGATCTGTGTTGCAGTAACTGGTTCATTAATCTGTTTGGTTTTTTTCACTTTGTTATTTAGGAAGACGATGAGAAGATAATTCAGGAGATTCAGAAGGAGGCTGAAGAGGAGCAAAAGAAGAAGAATGGAGGTAGGTCACGGAATTGCCCTCCTACAAAACAGGGGATCCGGGGTGGATTGTGGTGGCACTAGGAGAACACAAGAGCTTTTCAGCTGCTGCTGGTGAGTCTCTGGTTTCTGCTTGCATCTTCAAAGGCCAGGCTCTTTGCAAATTCCCTTCTAATAACAGCACTCCAATAAAACTCATTTGGGGTATTGCTTCAGACGTTTGTTGGTTTCATACTGTACAAAACCTTCCAGCTGCCCTAGATGTGACCATACTAGATAAGGGCTCTGATCTGCTTTGCAAAAACTAGATTGTTTTCTGCTCCTCTTCTCTTGTAGATATTGGGATCACCTGGTGTTTTGTCTCTCCAGGGACCACTTTAACTTAAGGAAATATTTTCTAGCCCTTAGTCAGAAGGGGAATGGTGACAATAATATGACCCCAACAGATTTCTCTGTTGCATTGCCAGTGGTGGGGGTGCTTGTATAGACAGGGCACAAGGATCTTTGCCAAGGTGTCTTCTGAGAGTTGAAGCCATTAATCTTGGGGGTGATCAGAGCAGGTCTGAATGATAGATTGAAAATGCCTGTGCCCTACCTCGTCCAGTGCGCTCTCCGTTGCTGCAGCTTGTGGGGCAATGGGAAGCTCCTCAAGACTCCAAGAGCTCCCCCTGAGGAAGAGGGAGAGAAAAATCAGACTTCTCACTCCAAACATCTGCTCGCTCTCAGCTAAATTATCTGAGATCTGCCAGATTCTGGACTTTGAAATATGATGGAAACGAAGGCAGAGAGCAACAGGGGAAGTTCAGAAGACGTAAATAAAGATGATTCAGGAGCTGAATAGTCACAGAACTAGCATCTCCCAACTAGGGCCTCTCCTTGAGCTCCTCATTGTCAAACCTAAACTATGCGGAGGCTAGATGGTTATGTGGGGTGAGGGATTCCCTGCCCTGGGGGGGAGAAGTTCCACCTGTACAGGTGTGGCCTGGAAGAGGAGAAAAGCCCACAATACTGGGCATTGAGAGATTATATTGGAGCAGCTGGGAGGGGATTCTGGAAGAGCAGAAAACTCCTTAAGTTTAAAGATTCAAAACTGGTATAATGCTGATAAGCCAGGCTCTTGCCTGCATAGCTCTGCTAGACATGGTAGTGACTCTTAGCGCCTCCTAAATCCAGGGCAGCTCCCTAAGAGTTGTCAAGATCAAAGCAGACTGTGAAGAACTTCAAAAAAATATCACCAAACTCAGTGACTGGGCAACAAAATGGCAAATGAAATTTAATGTGGATAAAGTGTAAAGTAATGCACGCCGGAAAAAAAAACCAACTATACATATAATATGATGGGGGACTAATTTAGCTACAACTAATCAGGAAAGAGATCTTGGCGTTATCGTGGATACTTCTCTGAAAACACCCACACAGTGGGCAGCAGCAGTCAAAACAAATAGGATGCTAGGAATTATTAAAAAAGGATATAAAATAAGATGAATATCTTACTGCCCCTATATAAAACTATAGCACACCTATATCTTGAATACTGTGTACAGATGTGGTCTCCTCGCTTCAAAGATATTTTGGCATTAGAAAAGGTTTCGAAAAGAGCAACTAAAATGATTAGGTGTTTGGAATGGGTCCCGTATGAGAAGAGGCTAAAGAGACTGGGACTTTCAGTTTAGAAAAGAGGAGACTGAGGGGGGATATAATAGAGGTCTATAAATCATGAGTGGTGTCGAAGGTGAATAAAGAAAAGTTATTTACTTGTTCCCATAATATAAGAACTTGAGGACACCAAATGAAATTAATAGGTAGCAGGTTTAAAACTAATAAGCGAAAGTTCTTCTTCACACAGCACAGTCAACCTGTGGAACTCCTTGCCAGAGGAGGCTATGAAGGCTAGGACTATAATACAGTTTAAAAAAGAGCTAGATAAATTCATGGAGGTTAGGTCCATAAAAGGCTATTAGCCAGGGGGTCAGGAATGATGCCCTGGCCTCTGTTTGTCCATGGCAGGAGACAGTTTGCTTGATCATTGTCATTGGACAGATGGGAGAGAGTTTAGCTGCTGCATTGTATGTCTGTTAGTAGTTCTCTGTGGAGTAGTCTTGAATTCTATACAGAATCTGTACTAGATTGTTGACTATGCTATTCTGACAAAATGTAGGGTGGTAGCATGAGATCCACCCTTGACTATGCTATTGGCACTGGCCACTGTCAGCAGACAGGAAACTGGGCTAGATGGACCTTTGGTCTGACCCAGTATGGCCGTTCTTATCCAACAAGGGATGTCATCAACAATCCGTGTTCTTCTCAGTCTCTCTCTGTAGGCCCCACTTTAGGGCCACGTGTGTCTCGTGTGTGCAAGACCGGAAATGAGAGGAGCTGGTTAAGCAGAGCTGCACGTGTCCATTCCTTGTACCTCTCTTGCTCCCATAAGAGGGCGCTACCCCTCTTCTGTTTCCCTTTTACAGCCCATGGGAGCAAGGCAGAGCCCAGCAAGTGCCAGGCCTGCTAGTTCCCAGCTTTGACTCAATTTTCTGTAAACTTGAATAATTCAGAACTTCTGTTGTTATCTTCATCTTCAGCTGCTGTAACGTGTCTGGGCCACGTATTGATGGCTAGATCCTCTGTACACCCACACAGCCTATACAGGACTTCTTAGTATGGCAAACTTAAAATTGCAGACTTTAAGCCCTGCCCATTCTTTGATGGGCTAATCCGTTTAAAAGATGGGCATGAGGGCTGCGTCTAGATTGCATGATTTTCCAGAAATGCTTTTAACAGAAAAGTTTTCCGTTAAAAGCATTTGCGGAAAAGAGCGTCTAGATTGGCACGGACGCTTTTCCGCAAAAGCACTTTTTGCAGAAAAGCGTCCGTGGCCAATCTAGATCCTCGCCATTTTCGCGATCGGGGCTTTTTTGCGGAAAACAAATCTGAGCTGTCTACACTGGCCCTTTTGCACAAAAGCTTTGCGCAAAAGAGACTTTTGAATGAAAGGGAGCAGAATAGTATTTCCACAAGTAGCACTGATTTCTTACAGTAGGAAATCAGTGCTTTTGCGGAAATTCAAGCAGCCAGTGTAAACAGCTGGCAAGTTTTTCCGGAAAAGCAGCTGATTTTCCGGAAAAACTGGCCAGTCTAGACACAGCTGATATGTGCTCCTCCTGGAGAATCTAGCTCTGAGATCCTGCTTGTGGACTAGCCAGCATCCTGCAGCAGACAAGCTGTGCCCAAGACTGATGCAAAGAAGACGCCAAGAAAGGAATCAACATGGTTGTCTCCAGCATTCAAAACAGACATCAGCAGTTAATTGCCAACAAGACCCTTGACGTTGAAGTATGGCAAGGAAAGGGATTGGTCTGTCAGATAATGAAAGACAAAGCCTCTGGAGACAACATATCAACCAGACCCCAAGGCATCTGGGGCTGGGGCAAATGAGCAGACTATGACAAGCAAGACTGTGGTTCGCATGTTATCCAGCTCCAGGACTGTCCCCCTCAATGTTGAGACAGACCTTGGAGAACTAGCCTAGAGAAAATTGGAACCACCATTACTGAAGCACTTGCCATTGCTGGTACAAACTCCTCTACTCTGTGCCGTTCATTTGGCACCATTCCTAAAGGTCCTATTTCTCTTCACTGTCACCAGGGCATGCATTCATTGTTGAGTGCAGAACCCTCTTCCTTCAAGTAAGTGGACACCATGGAGAGGTTTGCTGGATACCCCATAAGGACATTGAACTGGCCAATACCCCGTGAGGCAACTGTACTGATATCCCCTACCACTGTGGCCCTGCTGTGTTTACTAGGGCCCACCATTTTGAGGATGCTGGAGCCAATCTCTGCCACTTTCAAGAAGGAGGTTCTTCCACTCTTCATCTCTGGGAGCACCCAGGCTGAAGAATCAAGAGGAACAGAGCAACACCAGTACCCCACCTTGCCTCCTAAGGATGTTTCCTCGCCATCCCCTGTTGAGTTGGTTTCCTGGGCATCCGTATCAGTGCCTGACAAGCTCCTTGGGCAAATTGTGAAAACTCTATAGAGACTGGAGTGATGTCAGAGAAATCCCACAAGCTATTCAACGTTTTCAGCTGCTGGTCCAGCCAGGGTTGCCTTCCCCATAAGAGGGACTTCTTGACTCACCTATGGCAGATACTGGCGCCACGGTGCTGTGCAACAAATTAGTACCAAGTGTCTCCAAGGGGGTTGGAGTACTTCTGTCCTCGTCCCATCCCAACTGCCTGAGTCCACTTGGCAGTGCAGAGAAATCTTAAGTCAAGCAAGAGTATTCCCAAAGGCAAAGACCCAAAACAGATTGACAGCTCTGAAAGTCATATTCTTCTGCCCTTTTACAGTTGTGTGTCGCTAACTGCCAAGACTTACTGGCCATCTATGTCTTCCTAATCTGGGACAGTGTGACTTGCTTCCTTGCAAAACCCCTGCAAGTTGGAGCTAAAAGATAATTAAAGGAAAGTCTACTGATAGACGAGACAACACTCTGAGCTACAATGGGGGCCTCCAATGCTGCAGAGAGGTCTGTGGCCCTCATGATAATATGCACAGAGTACTATGGCATACAGAGAAGTATGGGCCATGAATGATCAAAAACTTAGCTTTTGAGGGCACAGAGCTATACAAGCATACAACACTCTGCACTCAATTAAATGCAAAGGCCGCCTTATGCTGCCTGGCAATTTACACCCCGGCATTGTAACAGAAGTCAACAATCAAAGAACCAGACAGAATCTTATAGATAAACAATAGAGAGATGGGGAACATAATGAGACAAAGAACCAGACAGAGTCTTACAGATAAACAACAGAGAGATGGGGAACATAATGACAAAGCGATAAAGAAATGTGGATTTCACAACCCCAGCTATTGATAAGAGCTTTCTGCCTGGCAAGGAGGCAATCAGCCTAAGTTTCCGTTAAATCTTCTGGCCTCTTCCCTTTATCTTGAGGCAATAGATTGCATTACCTTTCTAATAGCCCCAAATTGTCTTATTTCAGTGTTACTGGTTTGGAATGTGCCATGCGTTTTCCAGCTTATGACTGCCCCTGCTACTTAGCCAAAAACTTTAGTTTAAGAACAAGGCCTCAGACTATCACACCCAGACTGTGATTTTTGATTCTTTGTTTTTATACCCCTGCAAGAATACACCTAAATTCTTAAAGTATAGGCCGTAAGCGGTAGGCCTGACTTGCCTAGATCTTAATAGGTACCCCGCTGAGTTTTCTGTGAAATATTATGCCCTGACATGGCTACCAAGGCAGATGCCAAGCCTGGCAAAGTGGTTATTCTGTTGTTTCACAGATCCATCTGATAATCCTCACTCCATCATCTCAGTTTATAAATCTCTTCAGGGACCCTTCTCACTAGACCGTTCTCATGCAGGTTAGGGAGCGGTGCAGAAATCGCCACCTCAGGGCTGCTGCTTCTGTCATTTTTTAATCCCAAAAGCCAAAAGGAGCCTGTGCCCTGAATTACTACCTGCTGACACTCAAGTTTTGCATGGTCTCTCTGTTTTCAATTATCCCCGACCTGGATCCAGGGGATTGGTACGCTGCCCTTGACTTCAAAGACGTGTATTTCCACATCACACTCTTGAAGGGACATAGGTGCTTCTTTCATTTCATGATAGGTGTGAAACATTACCAGTCTACTGTCCTCCCCTTTGGGCTTGCCAGAGCTCTGAGGGTGTTTACTAAGTGCATGTTGGCAGTGGCAGCTTACCTGAGATGCATGGGGGTCTAGGTATATCCCTACCTCAACAGTTGGCTCGTCAGGCTCCTCCAAGGCCAAGGTCCAGAGGAACGTCACTCTTCTGTTGGACACGTGCCAGTGTCTGGGCCTCCAAGACTATGTCTACACTACACAGTTATTTCGGAATAAGCTATTCCAAAATAGTTTTTCAAAATAGCACATCTACACTGCAGGGAAGCCTCAAAATTAGTCCAAGGCAGGCTTTCCTAATATAGACGTGCTATCTCAATTTAGAGCCCCAGGAGGAATAACTCAGAATAGCCCTGATGAGGAGCTATTTCAAAATAGCAAAAGTGGAGCATCGACACACACCTTATTTCAGAATAGCTATTTCAGAATAGGCGTTATTCTTCATAGAATGAGGTTTACAGAAGTTGGAATAAGCCGTCCGTTATTTCAAACATATTTCTAAATCACGGAACGGCTGTGTATTGTTGTTTCGGACAGAAGGCCTCGTGTATGTCTTCCCACCATTTCCTCTGATCAGCAAGGTCCTTCAGAAGATCAGGCAAGATGTAGCACGAGTAATTCTCATTGTGCCAGCCTGGCTGCACCAGCAGTGGTATGGCACTCTCAGGAACCTCTTAGTGCAGTAGCTTCACCCCTTTCCAGTCCGCATGGATCTTCTATCACAGGACCACGGCCACCTACTGCACCCAGACCTGCAACCCCTCCACCTCATGGCGTGGCTTCTCCTTGGCTAACCCCACTGGAGCAGGCCTGCTCGTTGGAAGTGAGGCAAGTCCTTTTAGAAAGCAGGAAGCACTCAACTAGGTCCATCTACGTGGTGAAATGGACCCAATTCTTGGTGTGGGCCCGCTCTCAGGGGAATTAACCCCATCGAGGCCCCTCTGCAGACAATCCTGGACTGCCTCCTTCACTTGATACACACACATCTTGCTCTGGCTTCAATCCAGGTCCACCTGGCTGCAATCTTGGCCTTCCATCCACCCGTTCAGGGCCATTCCTTGTTTTCCCACAATTGTTTTTCCACATGCCTCTGCCCCTCTCCCCTAGTGGGACCTTAATTCGGTCCCGTCTAAGCTAACGGAGCCTCCCTTAGCGCTGCTGGTCTCCTGGCCCCTTTCATTCCTTTTGGTGGCCTTTTTAGTGGCAATTACATCAGCCAGGAAGGTTTCTGAACTCCGTGTCCTAACATTAGAACGCCTTATAGGGATGTCTTCAAGAATAAAGTGCAGCTTAGACCTCATCAGGCCTTTCTTCCCAAGACTGAATCTACCTTCCGCATGGGCCAGGATATCTTTCTCCCTGTCTTCTATCCAAAATCTCTTAAGACCTGTGAGGAAAGGCACCTCCACGTTTTGGATGGCAAGACCCGTGCAAGACCCTTCCGTACATCCTTTCAGCTCTTCGTGACTTACACCAAAGGTATAAAGCAGTTGGTTGATTTAGTTGGAATTGGTCCTGCCTAGAGCAGGGGGCTGGACTTGATGACCTTCTGAGGTCTCTTCCAGCTCTATGATTCTATGGTAGGGAACCTAAAGCCCAGGAGCCAGATGTGGCCCCTGGATCTGGCTCCCAAGGCTGAGGCCCTCCCCCAGCCCTGGCACTCCAGCCCCTCCCTGCCACCTCCCCACAGCCCCCGACTGATTTTTCTGTGGGTCAGCAGCCCCAACCGAAAACACGTTCCCCACCCCTGGGTCTTCCGGTATCTTCACAAAGGATTTCCAAATGGATCACCTCCTGTATTAACACATGCTATAAATTGGCAGGTGTTCAGCCTCCACCGTTAGTGAGGACGCAGCTCCACTAGGGCCCAAGCTACCTCAGCCCCCTTCCTAGTAGGCATGCGATAGTGTAAATGGTTAACCCATGAGTCTATTAACCTTTACGGTTACACGCAGTGTCCCCCACACACGCACACTGCTGCCTTTTTTAAACTGGCAGCCCGTGAGCTCTGGCTCCTTCCCTTCGCCCCCCTCCCCTGCTAGCGCTAGTTGATGTCCCGATTATGGATGTCTGCAGAGCTGCAACATGGTCTCCTGTTCACGTTATGCCATCAGTGAGGCGGCAGGATTTGGCAGGGCTGTACCAAATTCTGCAGGTGCTTGGAGTCACCTAAGTTGAATGGACATGAGCAATCACTGGAAGAAAACACAGGTACCTGTTTCTGAAACAAGTGGTCTTCGAGGTGCATTGCTCCTGTCTAGTCAATATCCCTCTCTCCTTCCCCCGTCGGTGTTTCCCGGCAATGAGGAACCGGAGAGGGAGGGGCCCGCTGGTGCCCTGTACAGCATGGCATGTGCGCACCACTCCAGGGGGTGCTAGAGCCGGTCCCCTACAGAGGGAAAATCTTCCAGCATCAGTGCAGGTGGCACAAGCACACGCACCTAAGTTTAATGGACATGAGCAACTTATCTCAAACACCAGCTACGGAAACAGGTAACACTCTTCTAGAGTCGCGGGTTACTCCCTGCTATCAGAGGTGAGAGAACTGGAACATAAGAACGGCCACACTGGGTCAGACCAAAGGTCCATCTAGCTTAATATTCTGTCTTCTGACAGTGGCCAATACCAGATGCCCCAGAGGGAGGGAACACAACAGGTAACCCTCACGTGATCCCTTTCCTGTCACCCATTTCCAAACAAACAGAGGCTAGGGACTGTTACCCATCCTGGCTAATAGCCATTGATGCACCTAACCTCCACAAATCTATCTAGCTCTTTTTTGAACCCTGTTAAAATGCTAGTCTTCACCACATCCTCAGGCAAGGAGTTCCACAGGCTGACTATGCACTGAGTGAAGAAAAACTTCCTTTTGTTTTAAACCTGCGGCCTGTTAATTTCATTTGGTGACCTCCTAGTTCTTATATTGTGGGAATAAGTAAATAACTTTTCCTTGTTCACTTTTTCCACACCAGTCATGATTGTGTAGACCTCTATCATATCCCCCCTTAGTCTCCTCTTTTCTAAACTGAAGCCTCTGCCCTAGAAAGGTGGACATGCTGGAAGCCCAAGATCAAAATGCAGTGGTAGTTAAGCATAGGAGAAGTTTGTGTTGTCCCTGTCCGTACCATGCCTGCTTCTTAAATGCAGTGGTAGTTAAGCATAGGAGAAGTTTGTGTTGTCCCTGTCCATACCATGCCTGCTTCTTGCTACAGCACCTGGCTACAGCGCCTGGCTACTTCCACAAACTGTGCATGGTTCCATAGCTGAAACCGGAGAACACTCCCCCACCCCCTCCCCTTCCTGCTCCAGCCTGGGGTCTTTCTAAAGTTCTGTTTTTAATTTCTTCGCAGAAAGCAGTTTCAAGAGGATTGGCCCTCCTGTGGAAAAGCCTGTGGAGAAAATCCAGAGAGTTGAAGTCATCCCACGACCAGTCCCTCAGAACCTTCATCAGCCCCGAATGCCTCACTATCCCTTTGTGCATCCACCCTTCCCACTCCCGCCCGTCCGCCCGCTGTACAACAACATACCCCTGAACATCGGCCCCATCCCGGCCCCATACGTGCCCCCCTTGCCGAACATGCGGGTGAACTACGATTTCCCCCAGATCAACGTTCAGCTGGAACACAACTTGCCTATGCACTTTGGTCCACAGCCACGGCATCGGTTCTGATGTGGTTCAAACAGGACTCGTCACGGAGTCTGCAGGTAGAAGCCACAACTGCCCCCAGCACCCTCTGCCCTCTGTCATTTCCGCCAGCTGCAAGGGGAGCAGCTCTAGATTCTCCTCCCCACACACACACAGTATTTAAGGCTTCTAAGGTGTTTAAATCTTTACATCTAACCCTGCTGTGCCCTTCAGGCCAGTATAGCTCTTAGGGCTTTTCTGTTTCATGAAGGCTGCTCAGCCAGTGAGAGAGGGAAGTGACACCATGTGTTCTGGGGGGATGTAACCATTCAGCCAGCCCTTTGTGCCAAAAACCCACCTTCCTGTCTTGAATGCAAAGGCTGGCTGGGAGGGAGGGTGATGTGGGGGAAGCCTGAAATGAGTCAAAAGCTGGTACTAAGATTCAGCTGTGCCCTCTAGCCTGGAAGAGAGGTGATCTGTGCTTCAGGACTGATTATCCCTGAGAACACTCCCAGGTTTTTTCTGTAACCTGCGATTGTCCTGAGACACAGGAGTCAGTACAAGCAAATCTACAACTGTTTGGTCTGGAAATGCCTGTCACTGTGAGAGTCCAGTGGTCTGATGCAGAAGCCCCTCTCATACTGTGAAATACCCCCCACGCCCCAGTATAGCGGCTACAACCCCCTTTGCTGGCTTGGTATTGTCAGCCACAGCGTTCAGAAGTGATACTTAATTTCAGGTGATCTTAGAGCAGAGGAGGGCGAAAGGGCTTCTGCAGACGGGATCTGGTCCACGGAGGCCCTGCTGCTCCCCTGCCCTCAGGCCAATTAAGGCTTGGGGACAGGGGAGCACCTGAAGCCTTCTCCGCTCTGCTCCTGCCCTGCAAGCCATGTGCGGTGTGGGCAGAGCAGCGAAGGCTTCAGGCGCTACCCCACCCCACAGGTCTTAATTGGCCTGCGGCGGGGGCGCATGCAAAGCCTCCTCCCGCCCTGCCAGGAGCATGTGATGCTTTAAAGCGCTTTGCGCTGCTCATAGGGTGCATGGGAGAGCGGAGGAGGCTTCGCATGGTTCGTGCCCCCAGGCCAATCAGGGTCTGGGGGCCAGGGAAGCCGCATTAAGTTTCCTTTGCCCTGCCCTGGCCCTGCGAGGAGCCTGCAGCCTTCAAAGTGCTATGTGAGCCTCGCAGGGCAGGAGGAGAATTCCTGTGCTCCCCAGGCCCTGATTGGCTGGGGGTGGAGGAACGTGCCAAGCCTCTTCCAGGGCAAGGGTGCCTAGTGGGAAGGGGGGCCAAGGGGCTTCTTCCCCCCATACACCCACTTCCTGTTTAGGCCCCGCGCCTTCTGGGGTTACCCGGACCTGCTTCAAAAATGTAAGTGGCCCTCGGTCAAAAATTATTGCCCACCCCTGTCTTAGGCATGATTTTTCAGAGGGTGAGTGGCCACCTTGAAAGACCGGGTCCTTTCCACGTGGTGCATGCGCACTCAATCTTGGTTCTGTAGCGTAACAGATGGTTGAAACATACGAATTGCTCAGAAGATAAACAAGGCGGCCCAGGCTCAGAGTTGCATATAAGCTGAACTGCGTGTGTAGGACTTGCACACAAGTCCCCCTCCCTTGCAGTGACTGTGCGCACATGATTGCTTGCATGTACCCGATTGTGTACATGATGTGCTGTTGTGCGTACAAGCCTGGTAACCGTATATATGCCCTGGGTGCCCATCTGACTCAGAACCTGGGCCGAAAGCTTTTCATGTATACTTGTTGATGGGCTGGAGGCCGACGGGCAGAGATGCTGCCATGGTTCAGGTACAGCTGCTCTGGACTGGGAACGTACTTCCCTCAGTAAGCGTGATCAAGCTAGCGCACTAAAAATAGCAACATGGCCAAAGCAGCATGAGCAAGGGTCTGAGTGAGCACCTATCTAGGGTCTCAAATGGCATGGGCCTCAAGGCAGCTCGCCCGTCCTGCTGCCATCGCCACTACGGTAACTCAGACCCGGGGGGTTGGGTGTGGGTATGTCTGACTGAGCTGGAAATGACCCCTCCAGCTCTGCTGCACGCATACATACTCTCAGCCACAAAACAGGCCTTTTGACACATTCAATACGCTTCTGAAAATCAGTTTAACCAGCTTTCAAACCAGCCACGCTTCTGAAAATCAGTTTAACCAGCTTGGAAGACTTCAAACCAGCTTTCCTATGAGAAGCAACGCGGCAAACGCCTTGAGGCACTCAAGTCACTGCGGCTTTACCTGTCACCAGCTGAGGAGCAGCCTCGGGCTAGCTTGAGCTGGCAGCAGAGTGTGGCGCTGGGGCAGTGGTGCGGTTTGGCTGCAGGCTGCCTGTGAGGAAGCCAAGTGAGGGATGAGATGGAAAGAAGGTTGGGGCAGGAGGCGAGCAGCTGCCTGTGCCAAAAGGGTGATTTACATTTGTGCTACAGCTTTGTAGGCGTGAAGCTTTCCCACCCCACCCCCCTCGCTCTCATGATGGTCGGGTGCAGAGCTTTCTAAAAAATGGGTGGAGGGCAAGAGCATCAGAATATCCTTCCCTAAATGCAGTGGTCTAGTTCAAGCCAAACCACTTCATCACACAGTTGTACCCCAAACAGGCTGGTATTAGTTATTGTTGCTGCTAGAAACCAGATCCTATGAATCTTCCCCACTCTTTGATTTTCCTCCCTGTAAATTAACACCCAGGATTTCTTTACATACCAGACTCCTTCAGCCTTGTCTTACTCATGTCAGATTTGCCCTGTGGCTTCTCTCCATAGCCATTCTCTTCAATCAGCTTGTCTTTGGGCATTGAACCATGGTGCCATGAAATCTCAGTTTCTGGCTGCTGCAGGAGGCACCAGGGGGAGGGTAGATTAGGGTGGCTGGCTGTGCCATCATGGGTAGGGTGTATCCCAGGAGGACATGGCAGCCACAGCTGGACCTTGAGCAATGCCTGGCTGGGTTGTGAGAAGGACGTTCCTTTCACTGGTGGGAGAGTCTCCAGTGGGACCTTTCACAGTGGCTATTTTTCATACTTTTTGGAGCTGATCCAATGTCTCCTCTCCCGGATGAGGTGCACAGGCTGAGATCCGCCTCCTTAACTCTTGTGTTCCAGGTTTTCGAGTGCTGTTGCCACTGTAGAATTAACAACCACATGGTGAATTGTTTGTTGACATTGCTGCTAAGATGTTTTCATTTAAGAACTAGGCTAGAAGAGGTAGTGGCTTGCCAAATGCTGCTTGGTTGGTTTATGTTCAGGTTGAAATCTGCACCTTGTATTCCTGAATGGTCCCCTCAGTAGAGCTGAGCAGCCATGTTGACACACTGTGTTTGGGATGGAGGGCAGATTGGACGTGTCCACTTCCTCGTGATTTTTGCAGTTTCTCAGTAGTTCAATTGCAAGGGCTCAGCCACATGGCAGCTTGTGTATTCAGCGCACGTCCCACTGCTTCATGCCCTATGTCAGGGATGAGCCTGGAACATGCCATCCCTCTCATGGGTCACTGGAGCTCACATCTTGGCTCGATGAATCAAATAGTAGTGCCCTGGGCTGCCAGTCAGCCTTGGCTCTCATTCCGAAGGTGATGCTCCACAAGGCTACGCTGTGCCAATCTGTCAATGGGCATAAGGAATAAGGCAGAAGGAGTCTTTTATTTCCTCTCAGCTGGGAGGCGAGAGGCATGATGTCGAAGCTTGAAGTGGTTGAATCAGGCATCCAGGAGTGCTAGGGTGGAATGAATTTTGCCTTTATCAGCTGGCCCTTCGTTTTATCCTGAAGACCTGAGCAGAAAAGCTGTGACCTCGGTTACAGGCTCTTCCATTGTGGCTGGTTTTACAGTATATAAAGAACAAAGGGATAAAGTCCCTTGGGAGGGTTGGGTTTAAAAAAAACACAAACAGGATAGCAGTAGGAGCATGGGTGCAGTAGAGCCCAATTTCCTGGCATCTGTCGAAAACCAACCTGGCCCTTCGGGGTGAGTCTGCCGCCTCTTTGTCACCATTCATGTACTTCCTAAATAAAGCAATTCTCTTTGAAAGCCTCAGATGAAGCAGGTACTAATGCTAATACCCAGTGCCTTTGAGGAGCCTGTGTCCTTCATTCTTGAAGTGTGTTGCACAGGGACTCTCCACTACTCTGCTTTTAAGCACAACTTCTCCAAATCCAGTGAAATATAAATAGCTTTTCCTGACGTCCCCCCGTTCCTGCATGTGCAGTTACAGTAGCAGAGACTGTTCAGGAATGGTTCCCTAGCAGGAAGCACTCTCCAGTCACAAATGTGAGGTTAGGAATCTTTGGCCATAGACACGCTTCTGTCTCCATAGGTGCAATAAACTCCTGTAGCGAACGTCTGTCCCCACACTACAGAACTGGAAATGGCCAGGCTCGCTGCCGAGCCGTATCTTTGAAGTGGGGGGTGGTACCAACACTCTGTAATTTGTGTCGTGTTTAATTTGATAGTCTCTCGCCAATTTGAGTGGAAAGATACCATGTTCTACAGCAGTTAGGACTTTTTTTAGTTCCCTTGTGTCTCTCTGAGGTCAGCCAAGCTGCTTGGGCAGCAGGAACATTTGAATTCCACTGTCTTGTGCCAATCGCTCGAGCAAATTTCAGCCTCTGTGCTTGACCAATAGAATAGCAAACGTCACCATTCAAAAATAGAAGCGTTGTGGCCCTTTGCTCACAGCATGTTGAAACCCTATAGCATAGACCATAACAAAAATAATGACCTGACTCAAACTCCTGGATTTTATTTGTTTTTAAACTATATCTCTAGATTTTAGCCTGTGCAGAGAAAGGCTGGACATGGAAGGAAAGGAGCTCTGCAGAGTAGGCAAGGGAGACTTAGTGTCTGTACTTGACCAGTTTTTAGTCTTCTGTGTTAAAGGTAAGCCCTAGTTCCTAATACATAACCAAACTTTGTACTCTCTGGATTTGATGTTGACTCTCATCATCATGCCAAAGGGAGGCAGGGTTCCCCCAGGTAGAAGGTGTTGTGGTGAGGCGTCTCCACTGAGACGTTCCTGTAGCATGTGCGTGCCAGTTGTCTCTCCATTGGAGCACCGAGAGCGGCGCTGTTGAGGGGGAGGAGAGAATTCTCTCTCCCATCGCAGTGGCGAGTGCCCATTTTGTGTCTGCAAGAGGAGAAATTAGTGCTCATTCTATGAAACTATGGGCAGGTCCAGAGGGATCCACTCAGCTCTTCATCCAGCCTGTCACCTTTCGATCCTTTCTGGCTCTGGGCTGGGGCTCCTGTCACACAGGAAGTTCGGAACTAGGCATTGCCCTGCAGAGAAAAGTGGGACCTCTCCTTCCCTGTAATCTTAACTGGTGATTTTAGAGCCATCCACTGTCTTCTAGTGTCATTGGGTTGATGGGGATGTTTCTCCACTTAAATCGTTTCCTGTGCAATTCCATATTTTGGACTTAGCTGATGTTTTTGTGGGTACATCTACTCTGCAAAATAAGACCCACCAAAGTGAGTCTCAGAGCCTGGGTCAGTTGACCCAGTTTCTACAGGTTCCAAATACCATGTAGATCTTCAGGTGTGGACTGGAGTCCAGGATCTGAGACTCTTCTCCCTCCCTGAGATTCTGAGTCCGGGTTCCAGCCAGCACCTGAATATCTCCACTTCGCTGTTTTGAGCCCTGACAGCCCGAGCTCTGAAACTCGCTGCCTCAGGTCTTTTACAGTGTAGATATCTCTTGCCCCCTTTAAAGCTCCTGTGTCCTTCAAAGGGCAGCAGAGGAGGTGAGTCGTCGTGGGCCTATATCACTGTTCTGACTGGTACTTTTTAGGATTAATTGCAGTGTCCCATTTTACTTGCCTTAAAAGGTGGAGAGAGAAATTTAGTATTTGCACTTAGCAAAACACATTAAAAAAACCCAACCTTGTAAAGACAAATGGTGCATGTTCTGCAACTTTGTATAACAATAGCCGAAAAAGAATAGGTGGTTTATTAAAAAAAAATATTTTTCTTTACCCTCTGGTAGAAAACTGTTCTAATTCTGTGTGTAAAAAGTCCCTGTAAAATATTGTAATTTGAATTTTTTGTAAATAAATTTTGTGCACTCTGACTTTCACGCCTCTGCTTTTCTTTACTACATCAAGGTCCTTCCATGAGAAGTTGGTTGATTTGAGCTTGAGAGTAATTATAGGAGACAACTGATAGAAAGGAGCAACCAAACACTATTCTTGTACCAGATTTCAGTGGCAGTGATAGAACACTGCTAGGCAAAACATTCCCCTCTCCTGGAAAAGCTCTCTGCCATTCTCTCTGTGCCATGTGAAGCAGGACTAAATATAAAATCGTCCTTGAAAAGGATCATGTGTGTACACCGGCATATGTACAAGCTCTCCAGCCTATCTGGATGTTCAAGGCTATACTCACCTGTATGCTCTGGCTGCTTTGTGATGTGAATGTTTGAAAATAGAAATAGGACATGAAACAGGAAATGTCCATTCTAGCAGCTTACTGAGACAGGAAGAGCAGGGAGACAGAGGCAGGAAACGGGGGGAGACATCCCTGACTGACTCCCTTCCTTCAGCCACTTTTCTGAGTGTTGTTTACATTTTCAGCCTCATAACTGTGTGGAGGAAAGGGTCCCTGAGCCCCCAAAAGCCAGTGAAAAATAGGAAAATATGAATTCATGCTACAGGTTGAGGGTGGGACACAAAATATGTGCACAACCAGCAGAGCAATCCCAGCTCCTGGCTGGTCTCACACTCTAAAATGGGTATAAAACATATAGAAAAACATTAACCGTGTAACCAATCAAAATTCTATCGGTTACAAGCGTAAACGTGGTAGGGGTAGGGAGGGAAGAGTTGCCATCCCTCACTGCAGGCTCCGCCCTTCTCCAAGGTCCAGTAGCCAGCTCTGCTGCCGAGAGCTCCCGGCCACCAGCAAGGTCTTGGCCGGTGAGTTGAACCGATAAACTGGTTAATCTCTATCAGCCCTACTCTAAAGTTAGGGAAGGAACAGGCAAAAATGGCTGTGACATCTGGGATGAGGGGAACATGCATCACTAAAACTTGGGCTCCACACTCTTGTTCAGCCCTGTGCTTCCAAACTCTCTACCACTGCAATTATGGCCACTGTCCATGGACAGAGGGAGGGATGTTTGTTTCCTGGGTAATATAATCCCAGTACAT